TGGCTGCGATCAATGTATGTGTTAATCATGTTTAAAGAACCGGACTTTGTCATACGTCATTCGGAAAGCTCTGGCTTCAGTGGAAGCATATAGCTATGAGCAACAGTACGTTGTAAGTTATAATAATAAAAAATTGCATTAAATTTACATTGACTTACTTGTCATTATTGTTTTTATATATATACATATATATATATATATATATATATATATATATATATTAATTAATTGACTGTAAGATTTATAAACAAGTACTTGTAAAAAAAGTATGTAATGCATATGTAATGCAAGAACAATTTTCTTTAAAAATAAGTTCATTGGATAATATATATTAAAATAATACTAAATTAAATTATTTAAAAACATCGATAAATAATGCTAATATTAGCAATAATTAAAATTCTTGTTTTTAACACATTAAAATTATTTGCGATATTCTAGCAATTTTAATGTTATTAATATATTAATTTCTATAATTATATATGTTCATATAATTATAGAAATTATACATATAATTATATAATTTTAGAAATTAGTAGAATTCATTAATAGCACACAGTAATTAATAACAGCAATAAAATTACGCATATTGAAGATTAAAAAGGATCGTTAAGATACTGAATGAAGAGAAGATCATTACTCATATTAAAAATAAATTTGGTAACATGCAAGTTTCCGTATTTCTAGTAATCTATAAAATATTCGACCTAATGATTAAATTTGATATATAATTTTTAAATTAAGTTTTTAAAACAAGAAATTATAATATTTATTTTTAGTTCTTTGTAATAACAATAATTTTATCAATCATAAAAAATACAGCATTTTGAAAAATAATTTTTTGTTCAGAATTGTAATTTTAGAATTAAAAAATAACTAATGTAACTTGATTTATTATTATTTGTAGTTGCGTATAATGATTTTCCTTTAATTTCTATATAATTATGCCATTTATTAAAAGTTACGACATTTTAAAAAATAACGCAATCATAAACAAAAAAAAGTCATATGCAATAAACAATTTTGAATCAAAACATATCTATCGTACATATTAGCGCAAAATTTATAATGTTATTATGTTATGTAAAACATTTTGTTGACTCTCATTTTCTACATGCACTTTAGAATATTAAACGAATATATAATAAAATCTTAGCAGAAAATATTTGAAATAATCTAATATGTTAGAATTTCTATATTTATTTTTTATCTGTGAAAAGCTACAGAATGAAAATCAGTCGCAATAATCAAGAAAATAAATTCATGTCAATTATATCGATTAAATGTATTTACATATTTATTTATTTATTTTTTTAAATTGCATGACTTTTCTAAAATAGTATGTTAAATCTCTTTACTTTGTTATTTTTATTATACAAATAATTTTTACTATATCTTTTTTATCTAATAAATATTATATCATATTATATATTTTTCCCTTTCCTTTGCTCGAATGACTCTTTTAATTTCACGATATGTATTGTCTAAATAAATGCAAAAGTGGTGCAAAAGTCAATCTTTTATATCTTTATACACGAAACATGCACATATGTCGTTAATCACGTAAATATTTCACGAACGATTTCACAGAAAAAGAAAATCTGACTTCAAGAGAGTGGACTTTGACCCGGAAAAAGCAATAGGTTCAACGTCAGATATTTTAAGATACGGATCTCAAATACGTAGGCGGTGAGCCAAGTTGTAGCCAAACATACATACATACATACAAACATAAGTACACACCTATATTCTCTACATTTGATCCATCTTTCTTTCTTCTTTTGTATTAATTTTGTATTAATTAATGTGTTAATTATTATGTTAACTAAATGTGTGATTTAAGATTTAACTGATATTAGTTCTTAATTGATGATTTAATTGATATTGATAGTATCATATCATTTTATGATATTGATATTATTATATCGTTTTATGTATACATAATAATCGTTTTATGATACATAATATTTTTTGTATATTTTTGAAATATAACTCTTGTCATAATATCATTTATATTATTTTTTTCTAAATAACTATATTATCTTTTTTCTCTTTTTTCTTTCTTTTATTCATAAATCAAATTTTTTTGAAAATAGCCCTGCAGATATATTAATTTCAAAAAAAATTTTTTAAACTTATTATTTTAACTAGATTTGTATTTATTAATTCGTATCACAATTTGTATTCTCATTATATATTTAATTATACAAACAACTATAAAAATATTCAGATGATTTAAAACGCAAATTCAGATTTAAAATCTAAAGTATAAACAATAGTATGCGTAATATAAACAATAGTAACGTTTTATACGTATAAAATTTATTGATATAACAAAAATTTTATCTTAAATTTCACAAATTTAATATTTTAATGATATTTTAATGATAAGGTAACAAATAATTTCAAAATGTTAAATTTGTAAACATCAAAACATTTTTCTTTTCATTCAAGAAATTATATTGTTCATTGTGTACTATATGTGTACGTCATTATATTATGAATATTTTGACACATTTGACATAACTCTGTAATGAACTGACAAATTTTTTGCACATATTTTAGAGAGGATATGACCAAACATATTCGCAGATGACCATTTACATTTTAGACACACAGCTTGCAAATAATTTTGCATACGAAATGCAACGCATTATGTCATAATTCATTTTTTTCCATTTCGATATTAGAATCTTTCTTATGTTATTGTTAAGTTTCTAATAAAGGTGATTCAGCGCGTAAAAAAGCATAATTATGTAAAATAAATTTACTTATTAATAAGTATTTGATGTCAAAGATTTCTTATATTATATTCTAATATGGCACTCTATTCGAGCATTAATGCAGAATAAATAAATGTATCAGTCATAATAATGACCAATTGTAAAATTACAAATACGAAATATAACGTGAAGCTTTAGACAGAATTTGAATTTACGAAAGTTAGAACAGTAAATAAATTTGATTTTTATTTGAAATAATATTCGTAGTTCATAAAGATTCATTAAGACATTAGTACAATAATTAATCGAAAAGACAATTGTTTATAATTTATATATATTCTCATTATATATATATATATATATATATATATATATATATATATATTCTCATAAATTATCTTCAATTTATAAAATAAAAATAAAATGTAAAATTTATAAATTTTCAATTTTAAACATATAATTTATGTAAATAATTTAATTCTGTTTATGCTATAAAGAAAAACAATAATGCGAGAAAATAATGTGTTGTAAATTATATATCCGAATCGAAGAAGTATCGCACGGTAATATGGTGTACAAAAAGTGCATAATAAAATACTCGACAACAAAGTGCGAATTTACTCATTGTCTGGAGTTTCTATTATTCTATTTCGATACAGCTGACTATATACTTTCTACAATACAAATGTTAATTATCATTTTTTATCGCACAAAATAATTATACAGTCAGTATCTATTCATTCCCCTTTACATTTTCAAGATTTAGAATATCAAGTTATCGATTTATGATAATTGTGTCAGAATTCAAAACATGACAATTTGGCATTTTCATCTTTGTATATAAAATATTTTATATATAGGATTAATAAAGTAATTCAATTAAAATTAAACCAATTAATAAAACTGTAATTTTTAATTTTTAATCTAAAAGATATATATATATATATATATATATATATATATATATAATATATATATATAATAAATATAAATATTTGACACTTGAATAAAAATGCTTAATTATTCTTACTAAATCGAAAGGAATTTATCTTGTTGTTTAATTATTCTTAATAAAATGACTCAGAAGTGTAACAATATTGTAAAATTTTTGTGTATATGTTGAGGAATAGCAAATCTACTGTTTATTTTTTCTCTTTTCGGTTTTCCTTTTTTTAAATTATCAAGTTACATTCCGTGAACTTTGCTGAACTTTGCTGAACTTTTTCTCATTCATATAAATGAGACTATGAAAAACAAATCTAATGATGTATGTAATTGTATGTTGCGCGATACTATAAAAGCATTTGTTTTCTTGTCATTAAAATATCTAAATTGAATTTTATCGAATTTTATTATATATATATATATATATATATATATATATATATATATATATACAGAGTGACTGACAAGTATTTGCATGCATAAGACTTATAATTTCAGTATTTTGAAGTTTTTGCAAGTGATTAATTTTATGCAATTATCAGAGTTGAGCAAATTCCATTTTTTTTTTAGATAAATCATGTCAGTGGTAAAAACTGATTCTGATCGAGAAAAAGATTGTTAAAAATTATTTTCTTTTAAAATTAATTTCTTTTTTATTAAAAATATTAAAATAAAAAATCTTTTATCGATATTTATCAACTGAGTGTTTTTAATTTAAGCTTTATCAAAAATAAAATTTACAGTAGATTAGGAATCAATATAGCAAAATAAACTAGGTTTTTTTTTAGGAGACGTTGAAAGATAAACATAATCAGATCTATATTGATAAGAATTCTTCTTTCAATTTTATTATTATGATGATGATGTGTTTGCTAACGTTTAAGTTTTTGTTAAGACAATACGCGTAAGTGTTTCGTATTAATTATCACGAGTAGTACAAACTACAACGCAATTAAATTCACGTGAGAAACAAGCGTATAGGTATACCTAAATATATCGCTACATATGTATACATATACATATCGCCGTTACATTAGACTAGAGAAAGCGCAACTAATCCTTGACTTTCCTCTCTTCAAACACTAACAAATTATTAACATTTGCAAGGTCGATCTCACAATTTATCTTAAACGAGAACTAAAGAAATGATATCTCCGAAAGATATAAACATCTGTAAAAGAAGGAGAGGCTACAGCTCGTAAGCGATTGGTTGGAGCACGAAGGCGTGCGACCGCGCCTCCGACCCGAAAAATAAGCCACGCTTTCTCCAGTTTCTAATAATAGAACACGATCTTGTTACGCGATTGTTGACAACATCTGGCTGTTACTTACCTGTATATACCTATGCTGTCGACGATATTAATTTACGTCTAGAGACGAGTCAGCGTTTCAAGTAAATACGAGACGTTTTGTTGCGACGTCTACGGCTGCGATGGCTATGATTAACGCGACGCAGAATCGTCGAGTCAAATCAAAAGACGCACTTCCTGTTACGCGGTACGTCGTTCTAGTATTACGCAAGAAAAGAAGATACCGTACAAATCGAGGCACCGACTACAGCACAGATACGAAACGCACTAAACGAGACGACGGATGGCAACGCGACGCACGCTAAGATATTCTACCTTCATTCCACGCATGCGTATCCACGCGCATGCGCGCTTCGCTCCATGTCATCTGGCGTGCTGCGTGTTCTGACATTTGACGGCTGTAGGTGCAAGCGGACTGTCAGTTCATTCGGTTGCGAGTTGTGTGAGGTTAACGAAAGATGTCGCTGACATGATGTTATATAGGACTGTTTGAGAAATCGTCGAAGTAGGAGAATATCGGAGTATTTCGGTAAGAAACGATAAATAATTAAAATTTTTGGAGAACGTGGAAATTAAAATGTAATCTTTTTTGTATCCGGATTAGACGTACGTGAAAAAACTTTAGTAATAAGCGAATTAATCGAATATTTTTCTTAATCTAATTATAATCAGAATTTTTCTGTCTCGAGAATCCTCAACTGAAATTGATCGATTTATCTACTGCGATTCCACGATTATTTCAAAAATGCAAGAAGCATTATATAACATAAAATATTGTTTAAAATATTAACTTTATATTTTCTCTCTCGAGATAATATTGTCACTTTAAAATTCTTTATTGTGTGTAATGACGGTTTGATTCGCTTCCTGCTTAGACTGTATTCCGTTTTAACCACAGATATGTAACCTGTGATTTTAACTGGAAGTCATTGTCACGTCATATATGAATAAAAATATATTTACATATAAGGATACAATGCTTTAAATTTAAATTTATATCGAAATATACATATATACATTCATACATTTTTCATATATTCTAAAATGCGCCTAAATTCATGGGTCAAGACATTCACGTTCCTATGTATGACGTAACACGAATGATTTTCCAGTACTGCCACTACTGATAACTTGTGACATTTTTGTATGTCATTGGTCTTACTGTGTTTACATTTTTACCGTGCCGTTGACCTTACGCGGCGAGTTCAGTGATAATGAAATAATATCAAAAAATTATGTTTATTTACTTTGTGCGTTATTAGAATGAGATACCATATCATATACCGTATAGAGTATATTAAATAAGAGACGAAAGATTTTATCCATCGAGTAATTTACTGTGAATTTCCGCAGAGCACCGTGAATGTCGTTGAGAACGGAAGTTGGATCTTGAAAAATTGCTGGATTCGCGGAAGTGTAAGTATATAATAGAGATATATATCTTTCAAATTAATTTTCTAATTAAATTTTAACAAAAATACGTTTATATGATAGTTCATTCATCTATATTTTGGTAAATAAGTACAACGTATTAAGAATTATAAATAATTTGAATTTTGAATTTGTTAAGAAGAGATTATTAATAAATTTTTGATTATAATTTTTCTGAAGATTTGAAAAATTTTGCTTGGAAACTTAATAAGAGTAAATAATAACATATCAGTTATCATGCAATAGCATTGAATAATTTGAATTTTGAATTTCTGAAGAAAAAGTTATTAATAGACTTTTAATTATAATATGCTCAGAAAGATTTGAAAGATTTTTAACTAAATAAGAATAAATAATAATGTAGCATTATCTGATGTCATTTGCATGATATGCTTAATATTGAAAAACATCGAAATTTTCTGACATCAATTTAAAGGCTCTATAATAAATCTTGCATTCATAAAATTTAAATTCACTATCTTTTAATAGATAATAGTAGGATTGCCTCAACTTTTCCCATACATACATGATATTTTTTTAGCGAAATCTTTCAATCTGATACACGAATAGAATGACGTTTCACGGAACATAAATTAAACCCCATTCATAATTTCCTCAGGTAGAATTAAAAGCGGAAATGATGGAGTCTCCACCCATATTGTTTCTACCCGGTTTTCCTGCAAACGCATCTCGCGAATGTTGCGAGAACGGTGAAAGCAAAAGCGAAAATAGCGACGATAACAATTCTGGGAGATGCGGAGAAACGTCGTCGATAAATGCGATCGATAGAAATTACCAACGGTTCCTGCGGACGGAGAGGAAGCTTCATGTGAAAGAAAGGTAAGATCAATTTTGCTAATGCCAAACAGAACGGAGACAACCGTGGGAATGGATGAGATTCGATTACAATCGCCATCATTTCTTATTTCTCTAGTCATTTCCTAAACATTCGATCTGCATCTCGGAAATTGTACATTTTAAAATGAATTCTCGATATCATGATTTCGCAGATTCTTCTCTTAGTAAATTTGTCTATTCTAGGAAAGAAAGGGGAGAGAGGGAAAGAAAGTCTATTCAAGTATAATAAATAGATGTACACGAAATTATCTTTAAGAAACGCAACAAATTGTTATATTATAAATTATTAATTATTTACGTTAGAATGTATTATAATATTCAAATTAGAAAATAAATATTTTCTGATAAAGATTAACTTGTCAAATAGCGAAATAACGAAATATATTTACTTAGATGATAAAAAATTGGGAAAGGTATTATTTGATAAATTCGTATTATCAATCAGTGAAAGAGACGAACTGCTTTGAAAAATTTTATCTTCTCAAAAATAATAACAGAAAGTAAAGTAGTATGAGATCTGAAATAATGTTTTCAAATAATAAATATGATGTTTTCAAAAAATAAATATAATAATATAATAATAATACGATGAATTCTGTTTTTGAAAACAAATTATAAAATAAATTATTTGTTAAATAGTTTTATATGTTATTATATATGTTATATTTATCATAGTTATCAATGCAATTATTTTATATTTATTTATTATTCTAACATCTCCCCATCTTTTAATATTAAAAATAAGTAAATGAGATGTAAGAAATGATTGACGCAATTGTGAAAGAATCAAATTTATTAAGAAAACTGTATTTATTTATTAAGGAAAATCTAATTTCTATTTCTTCTTGATATAAATCGCAAAATCTATTATTTCATGATATATGAGATATTAACAGTTGCATCTCCATTTGATGTTCATTACGAAAGGCAATTTTGTTTCTGTCGATTAGACTAAATAAGTCTAGAATCGGACAATCGCTAAATAAGGTAATTCCGCGATAATTGTCGATGAATGATTAATGATTTGGTAACATCACAGAAATGTAACTGCATCTCGTGTTTTTTATGCGATATGCAACGCTCTGCGATTAATTGTGAGTGCAGTGATCACGTATCTAATACGCATTGCATAACGCATATCGGGGATGGCGTTCCCTCTATCCGAACCCTTTCAAGGGGGAGAACTTTCACGGCGCGCTATATTCTTCGGACATTATCCCGTTTCGAGCGATTTGATCGGTATTCGGTTAATTTAACACGGTGAAACTACCTGCTGCACCGTCGTCGCCTTCTGCGTTCCTCTTCGCTAGTCGCTGATTTCGAAGTCATTGACCAAAACTACTTGTCTGATGGTAATATTCAAATTAATCGAACGACCTGCAATGGATGATAGAAAAGAATTATGGTTTATAAGATATTATAAAATAATTCTTTCCTGACCGCGTTTAACAAATTCCATCGACGAAATCTTCCTTCTATGTGTGTGTGAGACTCTCTATCTATCTACATATATTAATTTATCGATCATAAATTTTGATGATTGCATTATAAATATACGTTTTTTCCCAAGATTATAGTCTTTCATTTCTGCACAATTTCTATCTAGATAAAATTTAGAAATTTTTATTTAAAAATTTCTTGTTTTATTTTGACTTTCTTGTAACAAAAAATTATTTTTTTTCTCTTCAGTCTATACAAAATCTATAAATCTCTAACTAAATCTTTATAAAATTCTAAGAAAGCCACGTATGCAATTGTAAATTGTTTAAATAAAAAATGAATCAATACACACAATAATCAATACATATGTATGAAAGAAAATAATTTCATTTTTTATAATTAAATACGTTCCATAATATATGGATAATTCATGTAGCCATTAATTTTTTACTTTATTATAATCCATCGTAATAATAAAGGGATCTTTTTATTTTTGAGATGATTTTCATTACAAATTCTTTAAATTTTCTAAATATAATATATATTCCTTAACATCTTGTATCACGCTTAAGGCTCAGTAGTCTACGTCATCACGTAGTACATTATAAGTTGAACAAATCGGGTCGTTGCACCTTTCATCGAGACCTACTTCGACATTCGTCGTGGAAGGATAGTGAAACTTCTCGCGACGCATCTCGCGCATCAATTACGCCTCTCTTTTTCTCTCTTTGAGACAAGATCTTAGCTCTATTCCCAGCGCACAGAATTTCCAGTGAAGCGTGAAAATCGCGTCTCTTTTCGCAAGGCGTGAGAAGGCCGCGCATAAAACGAGGTCGGAGGAAATTGATGACAAGGATCTCGACGAGATGACGCGTATCTATCCCTGGAGTTTGACGATTATCGGAACAGAGAAAGCGATACACGTAAGTCGACAGTATGACTCATATATGTGACATTTTTTTTTTAATCTTTGACTCGTCGTATCGTGATATCCTTCTATTGTAAGCTGACAATGTCGTGATCCCATACGTTCAGAAACGTTACTGATCGTACCGAGTTTCACTTTGTCATTTCGATCGATTTGATCTTAGACACAAGTTAATTGATTCTAAGTGTAAACGGATTCGCTGTCACCTACTAAATTGCAGTTCTACTTGCAAGAATACAAATAGAAACAGAAAATTTAATCACAGCTTTCGCAATACCAGTTTCGATTCTCCTTACGTGCTCAAGACGACTTTTCCCACAATCTTTGACATTGATCAATTTAAAAATTCTCTTCTGTAAATCTCATTCTATGTTTAGACAAGCTAATTGGAAATTCATATGTTCAAATTTTGAAGAGATTCACAAATAATAATAAGGATAATTAGATATATATTAAATTAATATTAATGATTCGAATATGATGATTCTAATATCAATATCTTTTTTTTTATTATAGATTATATTCTTAATTTTTTAAAGTACAGTATTAAAATTTTAAAATATATATATATATTTTTTGCTTTAGTTTACTTTTTTTAAAAATGCTATATTCACATTAATAATTCTGTTGATTGCTTCTATATTTCAATAAAATA